GAGGTTCACTTCATAGTGACTGTCCAAATTCATGTATAAACAAGTTAAAAATGAAAGAATAAAGAGAGATTGTAATTTGGCTAAAATTCTCCTGTCTTGTAAACTTTTCATGAGCAGAGAGGGAAATGGCATCACTTGACTCTTCCTTCAAATCTCTTTGCTGTTCTGTGGTCTTGGGCCAAAAGGTATTTCACGTTCTTTGAAATGCTATTTTACTGAACTTGTTAAAATCTTCTTTTACAGGCCTTTTGTATTTTGTATTTGTTATTTTTACAGGCCATACCGCATTTCAGAGTGGAAGCATACAGCAGAAATAGCTAACAATCACCATTTACTGATCTAAAAATCACCATCTACTTATCTTTTTATACTATATTTGAGGTGGGAAAGTAGCATAAATATTCAATATTTTGCAGAGGAATAAGAATGCTATCTGTGGTAAATTACAAAAGCATGTTGCCTTCCAGTACTCTTACGTTTTAATGCAGACATCACTCCAGAAATAAGTGAAGAAAGTCTAAGTTCTAAGTTTCTAACACTTTGTATCAACTTTGCCTCTGTGCCTCTGATCGCAGGTACTCTGCTCTGCACTCAGTTGTCAAAGCAGCTGTTCCCGTTGCATCTGAATGACTTGACTATCTCTCATAGTAGTGCATATTTCTACAGTTAGACCAACAGGGAACAGTTGGCATCTGCCATAAGATTTATTTTTTGTCCAAGATTCAGCAGGCAGTCCAAGGAAAACTATAAATCATTCACACAGACTAATATCTCAACTCTTTGGCAGAGAAAGCTGTTATATCTGATAAAGTGACAGGATTCCCACAGAAGAAAAGAACCTTATCTTGCACTGAAGAAACGTAACTTTTTCTTAAAGCCCCATTAACCTCATGCAAGTCCACTCACCTCTTGTCCCAGGACCGTAAAAATAAGGCTGGTGATTGTCACAACAAGTTTCTTAGCGTGATATCAATTGGGTTAGACATGCTAACTTTATATAGTGATAAAGGTACAGCTACCACGGGAGGAACAGCAAAACTTTAGGCAGCATACACCCATTAGGGAATACAGGATTTTACGAATGACAGTATAGTTTTGTGACACAAATGCCTATTGATGTGACTGAATGATTATTATGCATTGACTTACAGTGTATTCAGTACCTGAAAATAAACATTTAGAAGCTTCATACTTTTTTTTTTTTAAATAATTTATTCTGCAATACCGAGTCTAACAATATTTATTCTGTTATTCACTTATTTTAAAATAAGGGTATCTGAATAACTGGATTCCACTCTTCAGCTGTCTGGCCGTTCCATTTTTAGAGAAAATGGTCAAGAAAAGTTGTAAACTTTAGGCTATGTGAAAAAACCTGATGTTCGACATCATTCTGATATTTTCAAATTAGAGAGAAGATAGACGTGTACTGAGCAATTAATGTGATAGAGAAGGAAATACAATGAAAAAATCAACCCATTTAAGATAACTCTCAAGAGGTGTGCAGCCACTGGAATTACAAAAATGCATAGATATTTCATAAAGACTAGAATTTGACTTGCAGCCTATTAGTGTGGTGACAATTATAGCGGTGCAATGGTTGAAAGTTTCATTTCAGGAGCCGGAACAAATACTAAAACTTACAAAATTCTCTGACAGGAAATAAAAACAATTATATTCTGATTGAAATAAAATAAGAGCATCATGCCAATCACTTTTCACTTTTTAAAGTGATAAGTCAATTATAATAGAATATTAGCTAATTATTACAGTAAAGAAACAGCCAAACAACATAAAACTTTACATTTCCTTTTGACATCCAAGCACAAGACATTTTGACATTTAAAACATAAATCTGATTTTGCTGTATGTTAATCCAATGAAAGTTATAGCAATTTAGGAAGATGCCGCCCCCCCCAACTCACACGGTTTTGCAAATTCTGATGGAACAGGATTGGTCTAAGGTATTTCTGAGCAGCTCTAGGGGCAGAGTTCCAGATATGAAGGCTGCATTTTGCATCTCAGTGCAAGGCTTGATTTTGAGAACTGACAGCTGGACCAGCTCTCTCAAACTTCTTACTTGTAAACTAACTGTATCGATACACTAATTATTGAACCGTACATAGACAGCCACATTTTATTGGTTTTCCAAAAAAGCAAAACCAAACAAAACACATTGCTGATAATATAGTCCCAGAAGACAGTTACTGGAGCAATAAATCAAGTGAAGATTTCTTAATCTATATGTTGTTGTAACAAGATCATGCTGCTCAGGAGAAAAACCCATAGCAACCCTTTTCCTTCAACCCCACCCAAGCTTCCTAAAATTAAGAGCTGCTGGCTGTTCCTTCAGTAATATGATTGATGGACTGAGTTTAAACATGTGGAAATAAACTTCAGGTCAAAAGGAATATATCCTCCTGCATTTGCTTGCTTACTTACTCCATAATCGTGCTTCATAATCGTATGGAGTATGTGTCTCTGAATCAAAGTGCTAGTAGTATTCATAATCCTAGTGCAAAGAGAGAGGTTTGGAAGATTCACTCATATTCACTAATAAACCTTTGTGAGTTAACCTCACAGCTTGGCAGAAAGAATGAGCACAGTGCTGATGCTTGTTTTGCAGTGCCTCATTGCCTCACAGAATGATATACAAATCCCAGGTTCTTTCTGCTGATCTAAAGTAACAAATTATTTTTCTTTAAGTTATTTGCATTTATTGTAAATAGACTGACAGGCCTGGAGACTGACATCTTGTATTTGCTTTCTGACAGGCAGAGCATGGTCCATAAGTATGTGTTTCACTCAGAGAATAATAAGTGTTCACTTCCCTGTCCAGAAAAGCTACTGATTAGTATAAATTGCTATGTTGCTTCATGGAATGTGAATTTGACCCTAGGTAAAAAAATAAATCTATTTCAAATAGGCCAACAAGCAGACTTGAAAATTCAAAATCTTTGCTTACTCATTCATTTCGACCAAGCAAATAATTTTCCATGTTTATTACAAATGGGCACTTCACTATGAAACTGTGCTGCTTTACCATCAACATAGCTACCACATTTCTATAAATAACAAAGCCTGGTGATTATCACTTAGTCTTTGTATGACTCATATTTAAAGAGCTCCCCAAGGTGCTTCTCAGGTAGTGTCTTTGAGTCATAAATCAGAAAGAATGAAAAAAAAAATCAGCCTCTGAAATACCACCATGCCAAGAGATTCTAGATGCCTAGAATGTATCATCTCCTATTTATAGTGTTAAGCTGTAGAGCAATTTGACAAAATGGAAGTCACTGGTCATACAGAAGTTTCTCTGCTTCAGTTGTTTTTGTTAAATAAAAAGAACTTGAGAATGGAAAAGCTCCATGGGCATCCATGCCACACACACGCAGAGAATCCATTAATCACTACCTAACTCTGAGATACAACTTTATTACCACCTATGACACAGAAACAGGAAATAATTGGACTGCAGTTTTCCAAATTCTTTACCTGAAACACACCTGGTCACGCTCTAACTTAAAACTGGCTCTATGTCTATGTATGTAAAGGCAATGGTGTCTGGCAGCATTACGCGCTCAGTACTACGTAAATATGAATTCCCTACTCATAAGTCAGTTCAGCTCCACCCGGCTTAGACACTTCTAAGGCGTGCAGGGTTTGCTAAAAACAGAAGCTAGTTTCATATAGAGCCACTTACAGAAAGTCACTCTACACTCCTGAAATGGAGGCACTGAAAAAGCACAATATTCAGTCTCTTAATAGGTCTCCATGAGGCCAGCACAGACCCAACAGGCCTGGTGCTGCATGCAGGTTAACACGCTATCCTACACCAGCCTACACCACCAGGATATTCCTGCCCCGGATGATGCCTTCTGAAGGCCTACTGGCCTTGGAACAGTTTCACCGGAAACATCAAACCTGCTTATTTCAAAAATCAGCTGAAAAAAACAGTCCTAGGGAAAATAGTGTACCAGACCCAGGAAGCCCACCCTGGAACAAGCCCCAGTTTGGTCAACACCAGCAAACCTTGACAGACCTGAACAGACCTTGTACAGCGAGGCAGGGATTTCTGCACAGTACACCCATAGATCCATGTAGTTCACCCACATGCCACTGATTTTAACCTGCCATATGGATTTCTCTTTAATAGAGGTTCAGTTTCCAGATCTGGAATCTTCCAGATTTTTTAACATGACTGCTTCCCAGAAAGCCTTGTTGGCCTCACTATGATCCATCATAGAACTACAAGCTGCAGAATCCAGTTGGGATTGAAGACCGTAAGTTACAGGACAGCACTAGTATCTCAAATCAGTAAAAGGCCAGCTTGTTGCAATTGACTGAGTAACTATGTACAGTTTCAGCTCACAGTTTTAACCTGTAGATTAAAAAAAGTCACCTTTTCTTACACTACTTGCATCAAACCCAGATATTCTTTGACTGAGTTATTTATTTCTTACGCTGGTATCCTGAAACATCTTGAACTATGACTTTATTTGCACTACATACTTTTGGATATTAGCCAATCATTGTAACCTTTACATGCAGTGCTACAGAGCTGAGAAGACTGAGGCGATGCTATAGGACATCTATTTCAGAAACTAAGTTGTTCTTAGCTCATCACAGGCCTAAGCATATCTGCAGGTTACCTGATCTAGCACATGCATGCATGCTCACACACACACACACACACACACACACACACACACACACACACACACACACACACAATCATGAGGTGTAACCTCATAGATTTAAATAACTTTTTCAATGATATACATAAAAATAAGCACTGAAAACAGTAAAAATGCATTTTTCTCTGCACTAGATTCTGCTTCCAACTTCTTTAGATATGAGTTCATGTGAAGTGAGTCTGATGCTAACCAGTTTCAAAACTTTTCTTCCTGAGATGTTATGTTCATTTCTTAGCACATTGCCCAGCTGCAACACTCTAGCAGGTAAATGAAAAATTTACAAACCCAGCGTCAGACACAATTCCTATATATTTTCAATTTCAAGTTATATTGCAAATATCATTAATGATGCCTAAACGAATGACTCATTGTAAACAGTGGAAGGTTTACAGCTGCCACTCTTAAGATTCACTGAATGTAAGAACTGCGTACCTATTTTGGATGTATGAAGATACAGGCATATATTCTTTGCTTCATTTCACCATATACCAAGGTACAATTTCATGATGGTAATTCTGCACATATAGAAGAAGAAGTAAAAAAATGGTATGTTCTTTCATTAAATGTAGTATTTTCCTTTCATATTATATTCTATGTACTGTATAAATTTTTTTTTCTTCATCAGTACTTTCAATTTCAACTTATCACTAGAGGCTATATTAAATAAACAAACAAACAAACAATAAAGATGATTAATAGAATGACAATGGAATTATTACAGCAAGTGTCAATATACAGTAAAATAGCTACTCCATTATATTTTCCTTCAGTGAGACTTTGATATATACTGGCTTTTTTAAAAGACCTGATTTACCTTAAATATGTCTAGCTGGAACAGTATATAATTGTGATTACAGCAGATTACCCATCTATTCCTATTTACATGAAAAACTGTGTTGTCAACAATTTGCTTTTCACAGATTGATACTTTTAAAATTTCATACATTATTAAAGAATAGCTTATGTATCATTTTATTTCTTTCAGAGATGCAATGTTCATGAGATAATCATAGAGAGCACATAATATATTATCATTAAACACATTTTTGCCACAAAAAGTTGAGAGCATTGGTAGAAAATCCTACGTCAAGTTCTGTGAAAATATTTATCACCTTCAACCATAATTTCATAAAATCAATGTACACTTTATGTAACATTATGTCAGCAAGTTCCTTCTTTATGCAAATATCTTTTGCTCTACACTTATGTATATTTGCAGTTAAGAACCCCATCAAATGCTTTTCTCTGTGTATGTTTGTGTGTGTGTTATACAGGAAAAGTAATAGTTTCACTCCTATGGTAACTGTAATTGTCAACATCACTGGACCCAAGAATGGGGAATTGCAAGATCTTAATTTTAGCAAATAATTGCCATCGTATTTTTCTACCTATTGCTGTATGTAACATTAATTGGTATTTACCTCCTAATGTTTACAGAACACTGACTGTATATTTCAAAGACATAATCCTTACCAACTATATACTGACTTTTATTTCAGTGTCTATTATATAAATTAGGACTTTGTTGCATACTGAATACCGAGGAACAAATGATAGCAACTTTATTTAAATACATGCACAGTGCCGTGCACTACAGAATGATGAAATACTATTTTTTAATGGATGAATGAATCAACAGAAAATAGATTTAATAAATCAGTAACACTTAAGAGTCTAGATAAAAGTGGGAGGAAACTGATAAATCGTGCATTTCAAGCAAAGTTTTATCTTTTCCCTTTTCTATTTTTTGATGAAATCTCTGAGAACTTAAGACATGCAGAGATGACAAGTGGGTCATTCTGAACAAAGAGCAATGTTAAGACCGCACAAAAAGTTCTGATTGAGACTATATGCTTATATGCAACATTGAAAAAATTTGCCGTTCTTGGACTTCCTTTCAACATTAGATAGTGCTGTGCAAACCTCAGACAAATCCCTGTATTAAAATTACTAAGTTGTTAGGAAGTCTCTCAGAGGGCTAAGAAAGTAAAACCTAAACGACTGCCTCCCCGAATATTTATCACAAGAAATGTTTTGATCCCAGACAGCAGACTACAAAAGGGAATAGGTAACAGTTTATCCTTTCCTTGAGAGACTAATTTAGAGGATGAGTAAATTATGGACAGCATAAATTTATAAACAATAATGACAACAAAATTAGATATAATTTTAATTTTGCAGTATGTGTCTATGCCTATCAACTTACGAAACAAACACAAAGTGAGTATTATTTGCAACTAATTTAGTGTTTTTCCTACCCTAGCATTTGTCTGGACATTGCCAAGGTAATCAAAAGAACTGTAAATTTTCAGAAGTGAGTCTACTCCAGTGAGCTTGATTAATTATGCATTAACCCGTTTCTCTGAAGCATCCTTCACTAAATCTTTGGTGGGAAATGCACTTTATTAGGCATGAGCTTCGGTTATTTGTGTGTATATACACTGTACTATCGGTCAATATGCAGAATGTTTTAAATTTTCCATGTTACAGAGATTTATTGCTCATTACAATAATTTTAGTGTTTCAGCAAACACTACCAATGACTAGTTTTGCAAGTATTATTACCTTCACTCTTCACATAATCTCCTTAGCCCTATAGCTTTTGCTCAAACTTGCATTGACTTCAGTCTTGAAAAAACTTACATTAGAGTAATCATGGTCACCTGAATACTGCACACATGGGAGTTCAGTTAGATGTTTTCTGCAAATATAGTTATTCATATACATAAGTTATGAGAATAAGATATAAGATTTTAATACTTAGCTGAAGAAAGATATTCTCAGGGTAGAAAAAAATGCTAAACTAAAAGTACAGGTTAATGAGACCTGTAATAAACTTTACTCTGAAACAGGTCCAGTCAGTTACTGATCTGAAGATGTTTGATTCAAGTGGTATTATTGAAGCTATGGCATATGATCGTTGTAGTAGAAAAGATTATAAATTGAATTATAGAGAGAAAATCAAATTACCCATGGCATTCTCTTCCCATATTCCATGGCAGAATTATTCCATAAATTAGTAAATAGTAACGCATGCAACAAAAAATATGCCCTATCACTTTATGTAAACATCTGCTTTCTTCATGCAAAATGCCTACAAAACTGTGACAATAATTTTTTCTAATAGCATAGTTTTACATTAGCTCAGTCACAGAAACTGTTAAACAAAAATCCATGATTTTGCAAGTGGAAGATATTCTAAAATTCTTGAAAGATTTCCAGCATATATATTCCAAAGCCCAATACAGCTAATTGGTTTTCTAAAAACTAAACTACGTAGGCTTATTCCTTGTTGTGGTTCCTTGTTCTTTTGATGATAGAAGAGAAAAGACCAGTTTTTGGAGGTGGTCCCATCAACATGGGTGCTTGGTTCTTGTGGGTTATTTTTATCTGGGGGAAGAAAGAAGAAAAATAGTTATCCTTAGAACTAGTTCAATTCCTACACCTAAATAACCAAAATACCTGAACCATCTTTAAATGTGACTCCTAAACCATCTTCATTTAATCAAATATGAAAGAACGTGTATTCTTTATGAATGATACTACATATGTAGTAAGCCAACCTATGTATATAATCATTGTTACCACAAATATTTAAATTATACTGGTAATCAATATTATTAAACATATACAATGAAATACATGCCAATATGTGATCTTACTTTTTAGGTGTGAGATTTATTGCTTGCTGTTGAATATATTACATATCTACAAGGTGAATAATAATTTAAAAGCTGGAAGGACATATATGCTGACAGACCAAGTTGTTGTCAATTATTAAGATATAAGCTGTATCTTTGTATGCTTTATTTATAAATCAAATCAAGCTGTACTTCTCTTTTAATACAAGATACTGCTTAATTTCAAAATAACCATTATGAATGTAAGTCAAAAATTAACACATAAAAAAGGTCAAAAATGATGAACCAGCGTTCTAATTTGTTAATTAACTGGTAATAGAACAGACTCAAATATTGAAAAGCCTATTTAAAACACTTTGCACGACTGCTCTAAAGCCACCCGTTTTGATTTCTTTGATATAAAACTACGAATCACCTTAAATGAGACAACCTTAAAGTAGATTATGTCTGCAATTTTCTCTAATTCAAGTCTAAATTAGAGAAGACATTTTATGAATGTATGCTATGCTCAAAGCTAATTGAAAGCAATTATCAAAGTGGCATTTTGTCTGTGACTTTAAGATACATTGTAAGATAATAAATGATTCTCATTATGTAATAAAAAGGTCACATCTTGCCTTTGGGCTAGTGACGCTAAGAGTTTTTCAAAAGCAATCCGAGACATTTTCTTTAGTGAACTACGACTAATACAAGAACCATCACTTATTAAATATCAGTTGTCACCTGCATAGTACCCACATCAGAGATGGGTATTTCTTTCAAAAAGAAACACCACCTCATTAAAAACTGGAAAAATATATCTCTTAAAGTGCATACCTGACATTTTCAAGTTAAAATGAATATCCTTCACTTGTCATTCACTAATAGTAATGAAACAAAAAATGTATGTCACGTGGAGAGGCTCATTAAAATATAGATCAGGACATTTCTTGGGGTAGAAATTTACTTTACAGTCTAAGGAGACAGAAACATAAGAATCTCAACAGAACAAGTGGGTTTATTTAACTGTATTATAGCCTTTACTTTATTCTCCAAATGTTCATTTCCATGCCACCTTAGTTCATTAGATTCATATTTCATATGTGACCTCTTTTTGTCAACATCGTTCATTAGCATCAAATTCAGTACACCATTTTTGGCAACCTAGATTACATTCACACAGAAAATAAGTCCTGCTTCCAAAGATTGGCATAAACATATTTTCTCACAAGAAATTCTGCTTCAGGCATCACTTCAGAAGCCAAATTTGTAATTAGGATAAATTGGCATTATTCCATTGATGTCACTTTATACCAGCTGATGATCTGGTCCTGGAAATCCTCAAGTATTTCTGTAACTTTCACATCCTTCATAAGACATACTTTGAGGCTCAGAGATAGTGATGACATCAACCAGAGTCTCAGGATCAATAGATAACATAATGTGCAGCTGCTGTGAGTAAATTCTTTGAGAGGCATGAGGGTTCAGCATATTGCAAGACTGGGCCATGATGAGGCAGTAAGAGTGTCCTCAGGATTTCCTTTCAGACGTAAATCATTGTAGTAATTCTTCAAATGAATAAAAGAGCAAAGCACAAAAGATAGCTTTAGTATGAAGAGGTGCAGTAATCCTGAGACCTCATACAGATTGCCTGTTGGATTGGGGCTGTTCAATGCTGCTGAGGATGAATGCAATTACATATTGAGAAAATATTTATCATTTGTAATGTTCTTTTTTGGCTTGAGCCATCTGTTTCAGAGACCACGACCCCTTCAGTATGTTGTATCCTATCAGCTGAGATCAGCTAAGATGCCTGAACATGATTAACCACTCGTGCACATGAGAATGGAGTCCTATACACATTTCTCTGAGGCATATTTTCAACTATTGTAAATTGGCACGCTTCCACTGGATTCAAATATACATTATGTTCTGAAAATACAGAAATAAAATATAAACTTAAAGTACATATTTTATGTATCCTTGGTAGCATAAGTTAGCATTGAATTGATTAACAATGATAAACATTGATTCCTTTAATTTCTGCTAGAAAAATATAGATAAAAATTCTGATACTTGGGTGATAAAAAAAGATCAATATGCTTGTAATACACTCTGTCTTTACTAGACCATAGCACTACCTTGCCTGAAACATGCTAATTTTGTCTTTCTCAAGATTCTCAAGCATTGCATTTCTGTCCTGGACTCTCACTTCTGCTTCTCTTTCCACACTAGCAACAATGCCAAAGTTGGTGCTGTGACTTTAGGTGATAACCGAAAAGTGAAACTACAAGCTTTCAGAAAGGAAACAGCACTACAGACCTTCAAAGGAGAAATAGCATTGTAGATGAAAAGAAGGGAAGTAGCACTGAAGACTTAAGAATGCTGGGTGGGAGACTGAAATGGACAAAAAAAGCTTTACTTGTGAGTAATCAAAATTTAGTTAAGTTGAAAAGAAAAAATGGTATCTTATCAAGGCTACTTATAGCTCTTCGTAGATTCTGTGTGTGCATACATGGAGTATCTAAAAAACTAATTTTTACCATTCACTTTTCCTCCCTCATCCAGCAAGCAACTTCATGTCTTCTGTATCAGAACCATAATTTGAAAAGCTTTAAATGAGAACCACTAGTTTTCTGTTTTTCCTTTTTCCCTAGGTGAATCTGTTTTTAAAACTAACTCAAACCAAAAGATATATAGAGAAATAAATTGCTCAGAAAAAAAAAAAACAACAGCAAAAGCTCAACCCCAGGCTAACATATTTTTAGCAACTGACAATACCCTGACAGAGTCATATAAAATACTATGGAATTCTATGAAAATAATTTTTGAGAACATTTACTCAGTTTTATTGAAACTATGGAATAACTTACAGAAAATAAGGAGACTGTTATTAAACATAAATTAATGGGAGAGACTGAAGTGCCACTGGAGGAAAAAACAATCAAATACTTTTATAGGGCACATATTTATATTTAAAAACATGAAAAATATAGAAATAACAAAATTACATTTAGGAGGAAAGTAAATAGCCAAATGAATTGATAAGATGTCATGGGTCTTTGTTGAAAGCCTGATGTACAACATTATAGGTTAAACTCAAGCTGTTGAAGCCAATGGCAAAATTCCCATTCACTAATTGAAGCCAAGATTTTATTCTATGAGTTCATGATCGCGGAAATTTAAAGGACTGATATAGCTAGTAAATAGATTTAGCATTTGCAATTTTAAAATCACCTTTGCAATATTAGAAAGTGTGTCTAATGATATATTTGTGGGAAGGAAAACTAGATCCAATTAAAAAAGAGCATAATTCTTAAAAGCAGAGGTGGAAATTGCTCCCTATTCCAAGATAGGAAATTTTCTAATAAAGAAGAAGCCTGAGTTTGTGATATTACAGACGTTTATAACAGCACAAAATGGACATTTATTTGTTTCAGGAGCAGGTCAGAGTTTCAAATTATGCCTTGAAGTCACACTAATACAGTGCATTCAGTAAATAAAATGCATTGAACATTAATAATTTGAGAGTAATAACTGCATCTGTTAGATCAATCAGTTTTCCCTTTATGTTCATTTTTCTACAGTACGTGCTGGTTACATATGTGTTCCTCACTTCACAGAATGCCTAAATGCTTCGTAATAATACAAAATATGGTGCTATAAATATAGGTACTAACTGGAATGCTAAATGACAATAGAAAACTGAAAACAGAGATAATCAATTCTGCTTATAATATTTCAATCAATATTAAAGAAATAATATTACTTCGATATTTTAAGGAGAGAAGGATAAACTGAGAGATAAAAACATATAGAGTTGAATCTGGTAGTTCATGGCCACTTTGTTCCATGTTACCAGCAGAGTTTGGCTGTTGGTAGCTTTGATTGTAGGAGGGCTTCTCACAGCTTAGGTGCTCATATGCTACTCCTTTCCCTTATGGGAAATGGATGGATACGACACTTTGGTATCATAGGAGTGCCAGATACTTTTATTTTCCTATAGGTGATCAAGTGTTGCACTGGGTATCACGATGGGAATAAGAACTATAGAATGTAGGCAGTGCTTAAAAAAAATTAACCCGTGACTTGTATTATACGGATTTGGTCAAACCTCTCAGATCTAGACGGGTGATTTTAAATATAGCGTTATGCAACACATCTTTTAAATAAATTTCTTAACAATATTATTGTGCAAAGTGCAATCAAATCTAATCAGTTTGGCATTAATTAAGCTCTAATAATATACTCTAGTCTCTCTCCTAAGTAGTGTGATCCGTTTCCCCTTCACACAGGTAGATTGGAAAACATTATGGTGTCATCATAATTTTTAAACATACTGAGAAAATGACAGAGCTGCAAAATTAAAATAAATGATTAATGGCATTTTTTTCATGTTTTGTACTAATAGGTATCACTGAGGTTTTAAATTAATAGAGCTGTCAAGCTCAGGGTTGTTACAGATCCAGTGCAGAACAAAAATGGAAATTATGTATTCCACAGACACCTAAAGATGACACTTCGGAATATTTTAAATTTTAATTAGTAGGTGCAATTGTTTTTTTCCCCCTCCCCCCTTAAACCACTGCAAATTAATTGGCAATTAGTCACAACTAATTCTTTTCTTAACAGTCTGAACTGGAAAGAAAGGTACATTTCATGTTAACGTATTTGTCTGGGGTGCAGAAAGCACACATGCAGTAAATTGCTTTGTCAATTACAAAAACTACTGTTGTGAAATTAGGAAAAAAATATGCACAGGTAAACAAA